TCCCTGTACATACCAGTTGTGGGAGTATGGGTTCGAGTCACTTCTGGGGTGTGAGTTTTCAGTTGTATATAGTCCTGGGGACCATTCAGGCTTGTTTGCATTTGTGTTCCTCACGTGTGCCCCAAAGAATGAGGTGATTTGATAAAATGCTATGCCCAAGATTACCATCCGAGTGCCGGCGGGGAAGTGGTTCATATAGCCTCGGCTATCACTTCCTTATGTCCGGTCGTGATGGTCAGCGGATTAAGGCGTCCCTGTACATACCAGTTGTGGGAGTATGGGTTCGAGTCACTTCTGGGGTGTGAGTTTTCAGTTGTATATAGTCCTGGGGACCATTCAGGCTTGTTTGCATTTGTGTTCCTCACGTGTGCCCCAAAGAATGAGGTGATTTGATAAAATGCTATGCCCAAGATTACCATCCGAGTGCCGGCGGGGAAGTGGTTCATATAGCCTCGGCTATCACTTCCTTATGTCCGGTCGTGATGGTCAAGCGGATTAAGGCGTCCCTGTACATACCAGTTGTGGGAGTATGGGTTCGAGTCACTTCTGGGGTGTGAGTTTTCAGTTGTATATAGTCCTGGGGACCATTCAGGCTTGTTTGCATTTGTGTTCCTCACGTGTGCCCCAAAGAATGAGGTGATTTGATAAAATGCTATGCCCAAGATTACCATCCGAGTGCCGGCGGGGAAGTGGTTCATATAGCCTCGGCTATCACTTCTTATGTCCGGTCGTGATGGTCAAGCGGATTAAGGCGTCCCTGTACATACCAGTTGTGGGAGTATGGGTTCGAGTCACTTCTGGGGTGTGAGTTTTCAGTTGTATATAGTCCTGGGGACCATTCAGGCTTGTTTGCATTTGTGTTCCTCACGTGTGCCCCAAAGAATGAGGTGATTTGATAAAATGCTATGCCCAAGATTACCATCCGAGTGCCGGCGGGGAAGTGGTTCATATAGCCTCGGCTATCACTTCCTTATGTCCGGTCGTGATGGTCAAGCGGATTAAGGCGTCCCTGTACATACCAGTTGTGGGAGTATGGGTTCGAGTCACTTCTGGGTGTGAGTTTTCAGTTGTATATAGTCCTGGGGACCATTCAGGCTTGTTTGCATTTGTGTTCCTCACGTGTGCCCCAAAGAATGAGGTGATTTGATAAAATGCTATGCCCAAGATTACCATCCGAGTGCCGGCGGGGAAGTGGTTCATATAGCCTCGGCTATCACTTCCTTATGTCCGGTCGTGATGGTCAAGCGGATTAAGGCGTCCCTGTACATACCAGTTGTGGGAGTATGGGTTCGAGTCACTTCTGGGGTGTGAGTTTTCAGTTGTATATAGTCCTGGGGACCATTCAGGCTTGTTTGCATTTGTGTTCCTCACGTGTGCCCCAAAGAATGAGGTGATTTGATAAAATGCTATGCCCAAGATTACCATCCGAGTGCCGGCGGGAAGTGGTTCATATAGCCTCGGCTATCACTTCCTTATGTCCGGTCGTGATGGTCAAGCGGATTAAGGCGTCCCTGTACATACCAGTTGTGGGAGTATGGGTTCGAGTCACTTCTGGGGTGTGAGTTTTCAGTTGTATATAGTCCTGGGGACCATTCAGGCTTGTTTGCATTTGTGTTCCTCACGTGTGCCCCAAAGAATGAGGTGATTTGATAAAATGCTATGCCCAAGATTACCATCCGAGTGCCGGCGGGGAAGTGGTTCATATAGCCTCGGCTATCACTTCCTTATGTCCGGTCGTGATGGTCAAGCGGATTAAGGCGTCCCTGTACATACCAGTTGTGGGAGTATGGGTTCGAGTCACTTCTGGGTGTGAGTTTTCAGTTGTATATAGTCCTGGGGACCATTCAGGCTTGTTTGCATTTGTGTTCCTCACGTGTGCCCCAAAGAATGAGGTGATTTGATAAAATGCTATGCCCAAGATTACCATCCGAGTGCCGGCGGGGAAGTGGTTCATATAGCCTCGGCTATCACTTCCTTATGTCCGGTCGTGATGGTCAAGCGGATTAAGGCGTCCCTGTACATACCAGTTGTGGGAGTATGGGTTCGAGTCACTTCTGGGGTGTGAGTTTTCAGTTGTATATAGTCCTGGGGACCATTCAGGCTTGTTTGCATTTGTGTTCCTCACGTGTGCCCCAAAGAATGAGGTGATTTGATAAAATGCTATGCCCAAGATTACCATCCGAGTGCCGGCGGGGAAGTGGTTCATATAGCCTCGGCTATCACTTCCTTATGTCCGGTCGTGATGGTCAAGCGGATTAAGGCGTCCCTGTACATACCAGTTGTGGGAGTATGGGTTCGAGTCACTTCTGGGGTGTGAGTTTTCAGTTGTATATAGTCCTGGGGACCATTCAGGCTTGTTTGCATATATATATATATATATATATATATATATATATATAACTGAAAACTCACACCCCAGAAGTTTTCAGTTGCATATTGTCCTGGGGACCATTCAGGCTTGTTCGCATATATATATATATATATATCGTACCTAGTAGCCAGAATGCACTTCTTGGACTACTATGCAAGGCCCGATTTGCCTAATAAGCCAAGTTTTCCTGAAATAATATATTTTCTCTAATTCTTTTCTTTTGAAAGGATAAAGCTACTCATTTCATTATGTATGAGGTCAATTTTTTTTTATTGGAGGTAAAATTAACGTAGATATATGACCGAACCTAACCAACCCTACCTAACCTAACCTAACCTATCTTTATAGGTTAGGTTAAGTTAGGTAACCGAAAAAGTTAGGTTAGGTTAGGTTAGGTAGGTTAGGTAGTCGAAACGCAATTAATTCATGAAAACTTGGCTTATTAGGCAAATCGGGACTTGCATAGTAGGCTAAGAAGTGCGTTCTAGCTACTAGGTACGACATATATATATATATATAGAGAGAGAGAGAGAGAGAGAGAGAGAGAGAGAGAGAGAGAGAGAGAGAGAGAGAGAGAGAGAGAGAGAGAGAGAGAGAGAGAGAGAGAGAGAGAGAGAGAGAGAGAGAGAGAGAGAGAGAGAGAGAGAGAGAGAGAGAGAGAGAGAGAGAGAGAGAGAGAGAGAGAGAGAGAGAGAGAGAGACAGAGAGAGACAGAGAGAGACAGAGAGAGTCGAACTACTACGAGGCCTGGAGGACATCTCGCCTGGTGGTGTCACATACATGTTGACTGATTATTTTAGAGTTTTCCAGTTATATCATAGGAAAGGGAGTTGGATGGGGGAAGCAGGGGGGGGGAGTTGTCGGGTGTAGCTATAGTGACGGCGATTCATTTAGTTATACGGGAGACGAGGCCACTGAGACTCATCAGTTAAGCTGCGAATTTTGTTCGACTATCCAGAGTGAAGAAAACTCCAGATGCCTTCGGGGGACGCTGGAAGTCAATATAGTGCTCCTGTTGGCCCCTGCACGCCCTTTGGGGCCCTCACCTCCCTGCTGGGGCAGCAAGCTGATAGCCACCAAACACGCTGTGTGGGGGCTCTCCTCTCCCCCTTGGCGTACCCTCGGAGTCACGAAACATGCCCAACAGATTGAAGATGTTTACCCTGCTTTTCCCCGTTTGCTTTACCCGGTAAAGTTAATACGCTGCCTCCCGAGCAAGGAGCTCGTAGCGACCCCCGCGAGAGCGTCTATTCACAAACAACTTCACTAACACCAGCACTTAAACAGCTGCTTTAAAATGCAGTTTCAAAATATACCTGAAAAAGAACATGAAGGCAAATAGGAGGGGGGGGGGAGGAACATTCGACAAGCCGCTGGCTTCCTGTCCTCGTCGTGGTCACTAGGGTTAGTGGCGTTCAGGTAAATTAACACCAGCACTATTTAACTACATTAACAACAACAACAACACACAAAATACTTCGTTAACAATAACACACGAATTACTACATTAATACGAACTAAAAACAACTTTTACCACAACAACATTTACCAAAACAAAAACATTTACTACAACAACAACTTTTACAACCACTAACCTCAGCCGCATCTGACGAATGTTAACTAAACAGACGTTCCCAATTTTGGAGGAAATCATTTACATATTTAATTCAATCGTAAATAATAAAAATATCCATCTATTCTTCCCGGCTGTCGACTTCTGAGATGACAATAGTTGTGTAGTTTGAGTCACTGAAGGATGATGTTACTTGCCTAATAGAACTCTAATTGTCACTTAAGTATCATTCTGTAACAAGATCAGTTTACTTTTCTAAAGCATTTTGATTACATTATGCAAATTCATCTTGTTTCTTTTATATTGGAAAAAATCTGAGCAAACTTGAACGTGAACATTTAATCTGCGTAAGGTAAGTATCCAAATTTACACACTAAACAGTGTAATTTATTTCGTATTTTTGCATAAATGTTGACGCAAAATCTTCACGGAAATTATATTGGGAAGGAGTTGATCCAGCAAACATTGTTGGGAGCGTTGGTGTGACGTCCGTGTGACGTCAGCGTGACGTCGGAGTGACGTTGTTTAGAGAGGAAGGCACAACATACCCCCCAAACCCCTAGAGTGCGCAGTATATCCAAGAGTGGCATTGATTCCACGTTCCACGTTGAATCGACGTGGATTCACCACTGATGGCGCTGCTCTTTGATATTGTGGTCATTGGAAAAGTCTGACTATATTGGGCAGAAACTTCACGTGTTCGGATACTGTTCTAGTTGTGTTGCTGTGTGTGTTCGAGATATACACGAAGCCAGTCTTTAAATGTGTTACTCTTGCCTAACCCATTTGCATAGTTTAATTATGTGTATAGTTTAGCCTAGGGGGGTTGGGGTAGGCTAGGTTAGGTATTTTGGTTCAATTGGCCATTAATTTGATTGAAAGTTGCTGATAGGGGGATTCAGAGTGAGAAATTGGCGACCATTCGGCCGTGAGTTCGAGCCCATGTAAGGGCACTTTGTATTTTGTTTTACAACATAACATTCTCATTGTCGATTCAGATCATATAAATAAGAATTAACAACTTACGAATTAAAAGGATTAGAAGAAAAAAGAAAGCACATTTGACTAAAAAAATGGTTTATTTTCCATAAAATACTTTTTTCACATATTTTTGTGAAATACATCATTTGAGAAAATGTAATTGATACTAAATGACATAAACAGTGACACTGTTGGATTAAAAACTATTAATTATCGAGAGTGCAGGGACACAAACATATATTAAGGTAAACAAACATAAAATAATTAATTAGAAAACTTGTCGACATATTTGCAAAGTGATATAAAATAAAAGAAGAACAAAACATCATACATCAGCCAGGCAGCCGCAGGGTGCCTCACTTGTGAGATTTATGAAATATTGAATACAAAAGTTCTCCTCATTAAATAATGTAGAGTCCATAAATCATCATCAATATCATGATTACCAGCTGAGATTGAGTCATTATAATCAACACTTATCATCAACCTGGCCATCAATTGACTGCCTTAAATTAGAAAGTGGACTGCCGTAGCTCCTTACAAAAAGCTCTGAACACAGCCATTATGCACATCAAGTTTAACTTTATTTCCATATCAAGTTTATTTTTTTACACTTACATTGTCCCGCCGTCACGTCAGCAGTCTTTTACACTCACTATTGAGGGTTCGCTGGGGGGAACGATTAGTGTTGTTTGCTAATGGGAAAATTCAGGGTAAAGGTCTGATATCTGGTTCTTCGGTCAGTGAGAGACGTTTGGATCGGGTTTAGTATTACGTCCTTGCTTGAAACGGTGACATTATAATAAGTTACCATCTTATTTTTGACGTTCTGAACGGGACGTTGTTACGTTCTTGTCTCCCTGCAAGACGTTTCGGATTGGTATGTTATTACGTCTTTGTTTCACTGGGAGATGTTCAGAACGGGTCGTCAATGTGGCCTTCTTGCACTGAGATACATTCACACATTGGTCCTCATCCATGGCCTTGAAGTCGTAATGACCGTTCTTTACTAATTGTAATTATCACTCGCTCACAAGTTTCATCCTATAAATTCCTATATAACAATCCTGAGTACACTATGAGTCGCTCCTGTGTATAGTTTGTGACTCCTCTGTCCACTATGTGGCAAGTCTATTTACACAATTGGCCATTTTGTGTACACCGTGTTGGAATCATCTGTACATTGCAATATTCTCATGTGTACACTGCAATGATCTGCTGGATGCACTATGTTGCAATCCTGTTTACACAAGATAGCACACATAGCTACAGTGTTCTGCTCGTGTACAATTTCCATGTAAAAAAAAAGATATCAAGCTTTTCATTAAACATCTATTATGCATTATTTACATTATAAATATAATAATTTGGAAAATTTTCGAGATATAAACTGATGTGTATTTTCGTGATATTGAAGTTTGTAAACGTTTTCCTCCACTGTAGTCTGTTGTGAATGGTATATAAAAAATGATCGATTATGTGTGTGTGTGTGCGTGCGTGTGTGTGTGTGCGTGTGTGCGTGCGTGTGTGTGTTTATGTGTCTGTTTTGTGTGAAATATGTATACAAAACACCTCACCACTCCCAATTATCTTTTTAACATCATTCTGCAATATTCATGACCCAAAAGAACTCAATCAGTTCATTGACTAATCAGTTTTCTGATTAGTTAACAGCCCACAAGTTCAAGTTCAAGTATGTTTATTGAGATAAGCAAGAAATACATCTCAAAGGGATAGAGTAGCTTAGGCTATTTCTACCCCCCTAACAACCCACCATATAGAGCTGATGGTGACCTTGAAATATTTCTAGTTGGTTAATAGCCAAATTTAAAGTATTTATTTCTGGGTTAATAGCCATCCTTGAAGTGCATTTCTGGTTAGCTAATAACTAATCTTGAAGTGTTTTCTGGTTGGTTAATAGTGGTGTTGAATTGAATGGTTGTTAGTGGATGGTTGAGTGGTTGAGGGATAATGAGTAGTAGTGAAAAGAACGAGTGGAAGATGGATAGAATGGAGTGTAAAGAATGTTGAAATGTATTCCATCACTCATATTCACTCCCTCAAGTGCCAGATACTTTCTCCAACACTGCTTTACGATTCAAGCAGTTTACGTAACTCTAGATGGAAAAAAAAGATTGTCGGTTTATCCTTCAATGATCGCGAGGGAAGACCTTTCTTCCTTCAATGATAACGAGGGAAGACCTTTCTTCCTTCAATGATGGCTAGGGAAGATCTTTCTGCCTTCAATGATAGCGAGGGAAGACACCTTTCTTCCTTCAATGATGGCGAGGGAAGACCTTTCTTCCTTCAATGATGGCGAGGGGAAAAAAGGTCGAAAGGGAGACCTTTCACCAATTCATGGGCCCTAAATATATCCCGTTTCGGTCTTAAAGTCACTGACTTCAGGAACTTGGGGTCTGGAGTCTTCAAACACTTACGCATCCACTCACGAAGCCTGTACATCTCTCTCACTCTCTTAGCAATCAAGAAGTCGTTGTTTACATATATTAACCAATTTTCGAGCTTTGAGACATCATTGCCAAAGGATATTAATTGTGTAAACTACTTCGTAGTGGCCTCAGAGCTTGTAAACTCTTGAATAAATCTGCCATGGTTAATCACATAAACATTAAGTACACTATTCACTCGTGCCAATTTAATGTATATTGCCATACGTGGCACTTTACGTAGCCATACAACAATTCGTATCCACAACAACCCTGCCATACATGGAAGATCCTATTTATATCAACCCAAACTCATTCATATATATGTCTCTCCTACGCTTGAAACAATCAAGTGATCCCTCGTCTATTACGTTACCCATCAAGCTATTCCGTAAATCAACAAACCCTGTTTGTAAACCAGTATTTGCCCAGGGGCTTTCCTAAGTGCTTTAGTTAAGATAAACACAGCCGCCGTGAATGAAAAAAGATGTACAGGTTTCGTAAATGAATGTGAATCCTGGCCAGTGCCAGGATCCTGTCCAGTATTCTGTGTCTTAGGGCCAACATGTCACCTTCCTGCATCTTGAGTTGCAACCTCCTCCGCGCCAAGGTCCGGATTACTTATTTAATTTGCGTTTCTCAGGTTTACTGGAGAGGACCGCAGGTGTCTTGGGCATGTTGAAGATGTCTTGGGTATGTTGGGGACGTTCTTGGGCATGTTGGAGACGTCCTTGGGCATGTTGAAGATGTCTTGTGTATGTTGGGGACGTTCTTGGGCATGTTGAAGATGTCTTGTGTATGTTGGAAACGTTCTTGGGCATGTTGAAGATGTCTTGTGTATGTTGGGGACGTTCTTGGGCATGTTGAAGATGTCTTGTGTATGTTGGAGACGTCCTTGGGCATGTTGAAGATGTCTTGTGTATGTTGGGGACGTTCTTGGGCATGTTGAAGATGTCTTGTATATGTTGGAGACGTTCTTGGGCATGTTGAAGACGTCCTTGGGCATGCTGAAGATGTCTTGTGTATGTTGGGGACGTTCTTAGGCATGTTGAAGATGTCTTGTGTATGTTGGAAACGTTCTTGGGCATGTTGAAGATGTCTTGTGTATGTTGGAGACGTCCTTGGGCATGTTGAAGATGTCTTGGGTATGTTGGAGACGTCCTTGGGCATGTTGAAGATGTCTTGTGTATGTTGGAGATGTCCTTGGGCATGTTGAAGATGTCTTGGGTATGTTGGAGACGTTCTTGGGCATGTTGAAGATGTCTTGTGTATGTTGGAGACGTCCTTGGGCATGTTGAAGACGCCATGGGCTTGTTCGAGTGGTTATGTAGCTGTGTGTGTGTGTGTGTGTGTGTGTGTGTGTGTGTTCGGAGGAGCTACTGGAGGAGCGTGTGGAGGCAGGCAAGGAGCACCAGGAGCGTGAGAATGTTCCTGAGGGAAGAGGAGGTGTAGGTGCCTTGGCCCCCGTGCTGCATCGCCGCCGGGTGTTCTCCTGAAACAAAGGGGTAGACACACTAAACACTAGAAAAAATAGTTAAAGACAAATGGGTTGAACAGCTAGAAGGAATTGTCAGGGGGATAGGGCCAAGCCGTCACAACTGTATAGCACTGGGAAGAAGTCAGGATAAGGATTCGGGATGGGACGGGGGGAAGGAATGGTGCCCAGCCACTTGGACGGTCGGGGGTTTGAACGCCGACCTGCATGAAGCGAGACCGTCGCTCTACCGTCCAGCCCAAGTGATTGAACAGCTAGAGAGTAATGACATAATAACGGTCAGATAGTATGGTTTTCGAACAGGAAGATCCTGTGTAACATATCTACTTGGCTTTTATGGTAGAGATACTACACACAGAGATACTACAGGAAAGAGGTAGTTGGGTTGACTGTGTCTATCTGGATCTAAAAAAGGGGCTTTTGATTAAGTAGTACACAAGAGGCTCTTCTGGAAACTAGGACATGTTGGCGGGGTGACAGGGAGACTTCTGACATGGATGAAAAATTTTCTAACTGACAGACAGATGAAGCCAGTAGTCAGAGACAATGTATTAGACCGGAGAAGTGTTACTAGCGGAGTACCACAGGGTTCAGTTCTTGCACCAGTAATGTTCATCGTCTACATAAACGATCTACCAGAATGAATATAGAATTATATGAAGATATTTGCGGCATATGCGAGGCTGGCTAACATCAGAACAGCCTTTAGGAACCTTTGTAAGGAATCCTTCAGAACCTTGTATACCGCATATGTAAGACCAATTCTGGAGTATGCGGCCCCAGCACGGAGCCCGTACCTTGTCAAGCACAAGATGAAGCTGGGAAAAGTTCAGAGGTATGCCACTAGGATAGTTCCAGAACTAAGAGGCATGAGTTACGAGGAAAGCCTGCGTGAGTTGCACCTCACGATACTGGAAGACAGAAGAGTAAGGGGAGACATGATCACAACCTACAAAATTCTCAGAGGAATTGACAGGGTAAATAATGATAAACTTTATAACACTTGTGGTATGCGAAAAAGGGGACACAGGTGGAGACTGAGTACCCAAATGAGCCACAGTGACGTTAGAAAGAACTTTTTCAGTGTCAGAGTAGTAAACAGGTGGAATTCATTAAGCAGTGATGTGGTGGAGGCTGACTCCATACACAGTTTCAAATGTAGATATGATAGAGCCCAATAGGCTCAGGAATCTGAACATCAGTTGATTGACGGTGAGAGGCAGGACCAAAGAGCCAGAGCTCAACCCCCCCCCCCGCAAGACAATTAGGTGAATACAATTAGGTGAGTACACACACACACACACACACACACACACACACACACACACACACACACACACACACACACACACACACACACACACACACACACACACACACACACACACACACACACACACACACACACACACACACACACACACACACACACACACACACACACACACACACTCACTCACTCACTCACTCACTAGGTGAGTACACAATCAGTACAAAAATATGCAACAAAATCCATTACGGAGCTAAAGGGAACTCAGCTGTGAAGAAAGCCTGTCGACCTCACTATACTGGAGGATAACCGGAGTAGAGCAAACTTAACGACATACAAGATACAAAAGGGGAAAATTGACACAAGTAGATGTAGAAGCAATGTTCAACTTGAAACAGCAGAAGGAGAGAACGCAATTGAAAACAGAAAACACAAATAAGGCACAAAGCCGTCACAAAGAATTTGTTCAATCCAAAAAAGTCGTAAAAATAAGTTATCGAAGCCAAGTCGATTTACACAAAGTTCAATGTAAATATGATAAGAAAAGTGAGTTAAAAGTGTCATGACATTGAACCAATGATGGTCGAAAAGCCAAGCTTATGAGCCCTCTTTTTCGCTCCTAAAGACACACACACACACATACCACAAGACACCTCAAGACACCCACCATTAAGAACATGCACGGTGACGTTAGCCGGGGCGGCGTTCGAGGGGTTGCAGTCGTATCGGCCGGAGTCTGACAGCTGCGCCTTCTGAATGAGCAACGAACTGGTGGTGACGTCTCCTTTCTCGATGATCACCGTCACTCCTCCTCGAGTCGAGTCGTAGCTGATGATCTGACGGGGAAGGGAAGAGGTCATTCAGGTCCTGTGACACCTGAGAGGAGAATCACAGGTGTTAGGCGGGTGTTGTAAGGGGGAAGGTGTTGATCAGACGAAGTGGGACGAAAGCAGATGTTTTTTGTGTGTGTTGCCATTCTGATTGAATGGAAGGTGGTCAATCAGAATAACTCTCTCTTTCTCTCTCTGTCTCTCTGTCTCTCTCTCTCTGTCTCTCTCTCTCTCTCTCTCTCTCTCTCTCTCTCTCTCTCTCTCTCTCTCTCTCTCTCTCTCTTGCCTTCCAATCTGGGCCTCATCCTGAGACCGTCCTCCACCGACGAGACGCACACAACGGTAACTTCTGAAAATTCGGCGAAAGTTTACGTATGATGTTCAATTTTCTTGGCGGATATGCTGGACAGAAAATAGGGAAAATGCCTCTTATTGATTCCCTTCATAGGTGTCGTTTTAGCAACTTTTGTGTTGATCGTTTTCGGATTGTAATGCATTTCATTTCCTCTCGATCATTCTATTTCACTCGAGTCTTTACTTAGGTAAAACTAGGCACAATAGACAGAGTAGACGCATTTGAGGAATAAAGTGTAAAACAATAAATTTTTCCCAAATTTCTACAATTTTAGACCAAAAGTACAATTTAGAAAAATCCAACACGTCACTACACTTTTGAAGCGATAGTTTCCGCGGTCCTAAAGAACTGTACGGAAGAGCTAAGTTATTCTCTAAGTTGTATCTTAAGTTAGTGAACTAAGTCTCAGGTCCTCCCAGCCGCGCAGAGGTTTGCTAGTGCGTGTTTAAATAAGAGACTGATTTGAAATCTCTAATTACAGAGTAATCGCCTTAATAACACGTGTAATAAACTTAATTGAAGCAATAATTGGCATCATAATTTATAATCATATAAAGATAATTTAATGAATGATTCTCATGAGTTATGAATAAGAGGGCGATCATAACTTACAAATTATATACTTATTCACTTATTCACATGAATCAGAAGCATATAATAATACTGACCATGATAGTATAGTGCTGACCATGACAGTATGGTGCTGACCATGACAGTATAGTGCTGACCATGACAGTATGGTGCTGACCATGACAGTATGGTGCTGACCATGACAGTATAGTGCTGACCATGACAGTATGGTGCTGACCATGACAGTATAGTGCTGACCATGACAGTATGGTGCTGACCATGATAGTATAGTGCTGACCATGACAGTATGGTGCTGACCATGTCAGTATGGTGCTGACCATGGTAGTATAGTGCTGACCATGACAGTATAGTGCTGACCATGACAGTATGGTGCTGACCATGATAGTATAGTGCTGACCATGACAGTATGGTGCTGACCATGACAGTATAGTGCTGACCATGGTAGTATAGTGCTGACCATGACAGTATGGTGCTGACCATGATAGTATAGTGCTGACCATGACAGTATGGTGCTGACCATGACAGTATGGTGCTGACCATGACAGTATGGTGCTGACCATGACAGTATAGTGCTGACCATGACAGTATGGTGCTGACCATGTCAGTATGGTGCTGACCATGACAGTATGGTGCTGACCATGACAGTATGATGCTGACCATGATAGTATAGTGCTGACCATGACAGTATGGTGCTGACCATGATAGTATAGTGCTGACCATGTCAGTATGGTGCTGACCATGACAGTATGGTGCTGACCATGACAGTATGGTGCTGACCATGATAGTATAGTGCTGACCATGACAGTATGGTGCTGACCATGTCAGTATGGTGCTGACCATGACAGTATGGTGCTGACCATGACAGTATGATGCTGACCATGCCAGTATAGTGCTGACCATGACAGTATAGTGCTGACCATGACAGTATAGTGCTGACCATGACAGTATGATGCTGACCATGACAGTATAGTGCTGACCATGACAGTATAGTGCTGACCATGACAGTATAGTGCTGACCATGACAGTATGATGCTGACCATGACAGTATAGTGCTGACCATGACAGTATAGTGCTGACCATGACAGTATAGTGCTGACCATGACAGTATGATGCTGACCATGACAGTATAGTGCTGACCATGACAGTATAGTGCTGACCATGACAGTATAGTGCTGACCATGACAGTATGGTGCTGACCATGACAGTATAGTGCTGACCATGACAGTATAGTGCTGACCATGATAGTATAGTGCTGACCATGATAGTATAGTGCTGACCATGACAGTATAGTGCTGACCATGACAGTATAGTGCTGACCATGACAGTATGGTGCTGACCATGACAGTATGGTGCTGACCATGACAGTATAGTGCTGACCATGACAGTATAGTGCTGACCATGACAGTATGGTGCTGACCATGGTAGTATAGTGCTGACCATGACAGTAAAGTGCTGACCATGACAGTATAGTGCTGACCATGACAATATAGTGCTGACCATGACAGTATAGTGCTGACCATGACAATATAGTGCTGACCATGACAGTATGGTGCTGACCATGATAGTATAGTAAATAATATAGCCAATAGCACATTACAATAATTACCATGCCGTCCCCGACCATGTTGTTGACCAACAACAACAACAACAACAACAACAACAACAACAGAGTAAGAGGCAGAGGAGACACAAGCGGAGGAGAATGTCACCTTTTATACTGAAAATAGCTGTCAAATAATGCATTTTATTCTTCGGCCATGTGTCCGTTGGGTATTGACAGGCGTTGACAGTCTGCAAGGTGTGCAATCTTCAGCTTTTCTCTCTGTCTCTGTCTCTGTGTCTCTATCTCTCTGTCTCTGTCTGTCTGTCTCTCTCTGACTGTCTCTCTCTCTCTCTCTCTCTCTCTCTCTCTCTCTCTCTCTCTCTCTCTCTCTCTCTCTCTCTCTCTCTCTCTCTCTCTCTCTCTCTCTCTCTCTCTCTCTCTCTCTCTCTCTCTCTCTCTCTCTCTCTCTCTCCTCTCTCTCTCTCTCTCTCTCTCTCTCTCTCTCTCTCTCTCTCTCTCTCTCTCTCTCTCTCTCTCTCTCTCTCTCTCTCTCTCTCTCTCTCTCGTGGCTGAGTGGATAGCGGTCAGTCTTCAGGCCAGTCAGAAGAGATGTTCTCCTCCAAGCGGTTCGTCGAAAAGTCATATCCATCCTCTCTATTGATTCGTGCGGTCATGCTTCAGCAGCGACTCGTAGCTTCACCTTGGGGGGACATGAAGTCCACTCGTGTGGAAGTGTCCAGCTGGGTGATCTCCTGGTCCCTCTCCCAATTTAGTTTTTTGCTTATTAATATAAGAAGTGACTGATAGTGTGGCCAGAGGGGTCAATAACATATGCTTCCTGGTTGATAGCACTCTCGCTAGCACCCTTGCGTCTCTCCTGGAGGACATTTGTGACATCTAAGAACATATTGGAGTTAATCTGGGTCTCTATCCTCCAACTCTCTCATTACTGATCGAGTTAAAGATGTCCTGTTCAGCTTACACATAACGGATCCTGCGGAGTGTACGATTGGATTGCTTGCAATTGAGAAGACCCTTTTCTCAAGATGCTCATCTCTTCCCCCCATAAAATTGTACTTTCTGAAGTCTTATCCATCTCACTGCAGCATAAAACAAGGTGAATATGACACTCTTTTGAAGTTTATATGAGGAAAATTTCTTAGTCTTCCTTTTGATGACTGATAGTGGAGACAAAACAACTCTTCCCGTAAGATTTTGTGGCCTGGGTGTCCGCACAGCCTCCCATATTGCTTTGATAGTCTTTTTTTTCTTCTCCTCTGACTCAAATGATGTTTTAAATTAAATCCTATATCCTTCAGCGTCGGTCAGGCATGTGGCATTGCCCTTCATTGGCAAGGAGAAAGCAAATATAGGCAACTTGAACATCACTACACATTTCTTCCCTTAGTATCTGAGATCTTTGGCCATGAGCATATGGAACAAACTTTCGTAAATACTTGGGTTCTAGTCTCATTGACACAACCAGAGAGCCAAAGAGCTGCTACCAGTTTCCTGTTTCAGCGCTTCAGCGTAGCGATCCAAATAACAAACGCTTGTTGTATCATTAGTTCCCGGGCGGAACCTGGGAAAGGAATGGTAAATAAACAAAAAATGTGAATAAAAAGCATATTTATAGACCAATTACAGCTCAGAAGTAGCCAACACGCAGTAGAAGGCCAGTCAAGGGAAGGGTTGTGAGGGGGAGAGGTTTCGTTGATAGATTTCCCTTACCTTGAGCCCTTACCCCTTACCTTGGGGGTGAGAGGGAGTATGGTCAGGGTAGGTTAACTTTCCCCTTTACCTTCGGGAATATGACAGAGGGAGTGGTTAGATTAGGTTAAACTCCCCCTTAACCTTCGGGGTGTGACATAAGGAGTGGGTCAAGTTAGGTTAACTCCCTCTTACCTTTGGGGGGTATAACAGAGGGAAAAGTGGGTTAGGTTAGGGTTACTCCCCTCACCTTGTTATTGTGGTTCCAGTAGATGAAGCCAGGTGGCTCCGGACTAAACTCCACTACACAAGTCAGGTTGATGGTCGACCCCTTGTTAATGTACATGTCCGGTCCGCCCAGGATACTCGTATACGGCTCTGTCAGAGGCATCATAAAATACATCCAATTAGGTAGTGAAGTTTGGGGGGTTTCCAACCCATGCTCTCAGCAATCTAATTTGCCAAGTTTTTTTTTTATTTTACCGTAACTAAAATTACAAATGCAGCCTATTTAGAGAAGCTACAAGTCATAAATCTAAATTAGATTAGTTTCTTATATTCTTACGTTTTTTTGGTTAGGGAAAAAGGTTGGTTTTTTTACGGAGTGGTCAATCAAGAGAACATACTGTGGTTCCCAGCCTAATAATATTTTTCATTACATAAATCTAACAAAATATTTTTTTTCAATAATATAAAATATATCACCCAAGAAAATCATAATAGCCAGTACTAACTGTTTTTAATATATAAGATTTTTATTCAAAATTATGAGATTATTTTGAAAATATTTGTATTTCATCAAATAAACAAATACAAAACAACGACACCAATATGTGATATGTTTGTGATATACAATCACAAATACACACGAAACAATCCCCACAATTAAACACCCGCCAAACACAACAATACCCACAGCTTAACACAGGACCAATAAAACAATACCCATTACAAAATACAACAGCCTAAGAACGCCTTATCAACTAAAAAAAATACAAAGTCATAAAAGACCCCAAAAAAATAATATCTCTACACTGTGAAGTTTTCCATCTTCCACTACCCCGATCACCAATGGCATTCTCCCTTACGGAAACGCTATGGCTAGGAGCCAATAAGTATAACCTAAAGACCATGTTTTTTGTGTCAAACTCATAACCTGACGACCAATCAGAGTCAGAGACAGTCAACAGTTGAAGTCGGTAGGCCTCCTGTACCCCCCGACGATAGACAGTCAACAGTTGAAGTCGATAGGCCGTACAGAGAGTGTGCGGAACCACTCTACCATCGCTGCTGCGACCCATTGAGACGGGAACAGCAGCTGAACTGGATTGGCTTGCGCCCTTACGTACGATCTTGTTCAACTCTCCTATTTTCCTACTTATAAACAGTGCCACAAGTGTTGCCAATTCACGGGCTATTCATGCTATTGAACTGATCTATTGATTGATCAATCAATCAAACTGTTACCAGAACCTCACTACACAAGGAACCCCTCCCCCAAAACGTAGCAATTTTTGTGCCCAAGATCACCACTTTCGGGAGTGTCAGGTGACCAACCAGTGATACATTGTGAGTGACGGAGCCCACATCGCCTTCTGAGTGGTCACTCCGACCGGTCGGAAATGAGGAAACTATCTGGAGCCTGATAAGCATCTACGAGGTCCCACCTAACGATGCCATTTACAGCCTCCTGCAAGATAAAAGTTGCAGCATTTCCCACTCTAACCAGGTTGCAGTACTGCCACTCTTCGCCCTACTGCTTGGGTAGGAAATCATCATCCATGAACTCAGTCATCGACGCAAACATCAACCAACTCATCAAAATGGTACTGTTATGGTGCTAATAAACTTGGTTGACAACTTTGGCGGACCGAATCACAGCGTGTTTGCCGCAGTAATCACGTCAATAGACGTCAGAAGAAGAAAAAAGTTTCAAACTAGAATGAAGCAAGAAAGAGTGTGGTCACTCAACGCTCCAACAGTGACCAGAGTGTGGTCACTCAACACCACAATAGTGACCAGAGTGTGGTCACTCAACACCCCAACAGTGACCAGAGTGTGGTCACTCAACACCACAACAGTGTCCAGAGTGTGGTCACTCAACGCCCCAACAGTGACCAGAGTGTGGTCACTCAACGCCCCAACAGTGACCAGAATGTGGCCACTCAACGCCCCAACAGTGACCAGAATGTGGTCACTCAACGCCCCAACAGTGACCAGAATGTGGTCACTCAACGCCCCAACAGTGACCAGAATGTGGTCACTCAACGCCCCAACAGTGACCAGAATGTGGTCACTCAACGCCCCAACAGTGACCAGAATGTGGCCACTCAACGCCCCAACAGTGACCAGAATGTGGTCACTCAACACCACAACAGTGTCCAGAATGTGGTCACCCAACGCCCCAACAGTGACCAGAGTGTGGCCACTCAATCCCCCAAAAGTGTCGTGCAACATAGAAGCAACCCTGGCTATTGACACAAACAAAAGCAACATTAAACAAAACAGGAAGACAAACCACTTGGCACTTACTGACAACATTGAGACGTATGAAGTGTGACATGGGCGGTGTAGTCGATATCTGGCACTCGTACATTCCGGAGTCCCGAGTCTGGTAACGGGAGAGTGAGAGAGGGAGAGAAAGATGGCGTTAAAAGATAAGGCATATTGGTATAAGGAGGATTGCATACGGGATATTGTATATTCGGTATTGGGTTATAAGGTGGTGGGTATTGGGTTATGGAGTGATGGGTATAGGGTATGTGGTATTTAGTGGTGAGTATGGGGTATTTGGTATTTAGTGGTGGGTATAGGGTATTTGGTATTTAGTGGTGGGTATAGGGTATTTGGTATTTAGTGGTGGGTATGGGGTATTTAGTGGTGAGTATGGGGTATTTAGTAGTGAGTATGGGGTATTTAGTGGTGAGTATGGGGTATTTAGTGGTGAGTATAGGGTATTTAGTGGTGGGTATGGGGTATTAAGTGGTGGGTATGGGACAATAAGACTTAGGGTATGGGTAAGGTATATAAGGGTCGAAGCCTGGGAGTGTGTTTACATGAGTTTGAAAGCAGGAACCGTGACAATAACAGCTGTAATAATGGGTATGAAAGAGTCGTAAATGGAGTCGATGGTATGAAACGAGGGAATGAGGGAATGAAAGTTTAGTATGACGATATGGACAGTGGGCATGAAACGTTTGTATGAGAGTATGAGTGAGTATGCTGACATATACACCTGGAAGAGGGAGTGAATAGAGTTAATATTCTTCCAGGAAAGGGATTTATAAGATGGTAGAAAGAAACTGTCTACAGAAGGGGATTTAAGAAAGGAGAAACTATATACAGAAGGGAGAAGATGGTTCAAGGGACAATAAACTATGAGGGTGAATATATATATAGATACGATAAATCGAAGTGGGAGAGGAAATTGCCAATAAAGTAGGTATAAAACGAAGCACCAAAGTAATTAGGAAATGAATGTAATTTACGTGAGAAATAAGGATGAACAGGAAGAACTACTGAAGGAATGGTGAATAAACTATATGCATGATTATTTAATTTCTAAACACATGAATATGGTCAATATTAGTTTTTAAGTTCTATTAAATTATCTCTGGAAGTAATAATCTTTAAAATACACACACACACTTATATATATATATATATATATATATATATATATATATATATTGAACAATAAGTATGAATACATAAAAAAAAATAGTTTTTGACACATTAAACTTTAGAAGTTTAATTTCAGAAAGAAAAAAAGTTTATTATACTGTATACGGAATATTCAACCTGTCAATTCTGCTGAGTAAGTAAATCAATATAAACTGAGTAAATCAATTTACATCCTGCTGAGTAAGTAAAAAAAATGCATTAGTGAAAAGAAAGCGAGAGAGAGAGAGAGAGAGAGAGAGAGAGAGAGAGAGAGAGAGAGAGAGAGAGAGAGAGAGAGAGAGAGAGAGAGAGAGAGAGAGAGAGAGAGAGAGAGAGAGAGAGAGAGAGAGAGAGAGAGAGAGAGAGAGAGAGATATGGAAGGTGAGGGACAGACAGACAGGAAGATAGATATAGACTCCTCCTTCCCCTCCCCCCCCCCCCCTCTCCCAAGCTGTCACTCTCCCTAGACCAATAAGCGACGCCTTCGGTCGGTTTATTACTTTTCCCTCGGTCATTAATCCCGTCCAAGACTTAATAACGAACCACCTTTTGCCTCTTTGCTATCCACATTATCCTCCTCCTCTTCCGCTTCGTCCTCTTCGTCCTCTTCCTTCTTTTTCTCTTCCTTCCTATTTCTCCTCCTCTTCTTCTTCTTGGCCCCTTCGGTTTCTCCTTTCCTCCATCTTCCAAACTCCTTATTTTCTGCATCTATTTTATGTTGTTCCTTAGTGGGATGTGATTGTTCCTTAGTGGGATGTGATTGTTCCTTAGTGGCATGAGATTGTTCCTTAGTGGCATGAGATTGTTCCTTAGTGGCATGTGATTGTTCCTTAGTGGCATGAGATTGTTCCATAGTGGCATGTGATTGTTCCTTAGTGGCATGTGATTGTTCCTTAGTGGCATGAGATTGTTCCTTAGTGGCATGAGATTGTTCCTTAGTGGGATGAGATTGTTCCTTAGTGGTATGTGATTGTACCTTAGTGGCATGAGATTGTTCCTTAGTGGGATGAGATTGTTCCTTAGTGGCATGAGATTGTTCCTTAGTGGGATGAGATTGTTCCTTAGTAGCATGAGATTGTTCCTTAGTGGCATGAGATTGTTCCTTAGTGGCATGAGATTGTTCCTTAGTGGCATGAGATTGTTCCTTAGTGGCATGAGATTGTTCCTTAGTGGGATGAGATTGTTCCTTAGTGGGATGAGATTGTTCCTTAGTGGGATGAGATTGTTCCTTAGTGGGATGAGATTGTTCCTTAGTGGGATGAGATTGTTCCTTAGTGGCATGAGATTGTTCCTTAGTGGGATGAGATTGTTCCTTAGTAGCATGAGATTGTTCCTTAGTGGCATGAGATTGTTCCTTAGTAGCATGAGATTGTTCCTTAGTGGGATGAGATTGTTCCTTAGTGGCATGAGATTGTTCCTTAGTGGCATTAGTGACAGGCTGAGCAGGTAATAGTACAGAATGGGGTGAAAAGGGGTAAAGAATGAGGATGGGAAAAGTACAGAAAGAGTACAGAATGGTGTGGGAAATGGTACAAAATGGGATGGGAAGGGTACAAAATATGACTAAAGATACAGATTGGAGTGAAAAAGGTCCGGAATGAGGTGGAAAGGGCACAAAATATGATGGAAAGGGCACAAAATATGACGGAAAGGGCAGAAAATATGATGGAAAGGACACAAAATATGATGGAAAGGGCAGAAAATATGATGGAAAAGACACAAAATATGATGGAAAGGGCACAAAATATTATGGAAAGGACACAAAATATGATGGAAAAGGCACAGAAAGGGGGTGGAAAAGGCAGAAAATATGATGGAAAGGACACAAAATATGATGGAAAGGGCAGAAAATATGATGGAAAGGGCACAAAATATTATGGAAAGGGCAGAAAATATGATGGAAAGGGCACAAAATATGACGGAAAAGACACAAAATATGATGGAAAGGACACAAAATATGATGGAAAGGGCACAAAATATGATGGAAAGGGCACAAAATATTATGGAAAGGGCACAAAATATTATGGAAAGGGTACAGAAAAGGTGGTGGAAAAGGAACATTCATAAGGTCTAGGCACTTATTCCTGCATCTCTGAACGTAAGGTGTGGGACACTCGTTCTCGTACCTCTGAACGTAAGGTGTGGGACACTCGTTCTCGTACCTCTGAACGTAAGGTGTGGGACACTCGTTCTCGTACCTCTGTACGTAAGGTGTGGGACACTCGTTCTCGTACCTCTGAACGTAAGGTCTACTAAGGTCTACTATTCTTGCACCTGTGAACGTAAGGTCTACTAAGGTCTACTATTCTTGCACCTGTGAACGTAAGGTAAGCTCGTTCGAGGAGATATATAAGGTAAGATCAAGGGCGCTCGTTCATCTCTGAACGTCAGATCTAAGGACGTTCGGTCGTTCACGCTCAGAGCGAGTCACCCGTTCTCTACTGATTATAACTTTACCAAAAAATATCATCACCTTGTCAATCAAAATATTTACAAATTGCTCATTCAAACTTCTCTTCTAAGTTTGTCAGATTCCCAAAGGGTGGGGTGGGGGTGGGGGGGGGGGGGTAGAATTTTCCTGCTCAGAAAATCTATTAAAAACTTAGACATACCCTCCCCCTAACCCCCCTTCCACCCCCCCCCCCCAAGAGGTGATCCCCTCTTCCATATATCGACTATAATGAACTTAAAGAAGTTCGGGTCCAAGTTCGAGCCAATTTTTGATGGAATTATCCGCCAAGCAAAACAAGAAAAGTGTATATGAGAGAAGTTGTAGCGAGTCCTGTTTAGTTCCTGTTTAGTTCCTGTTTAGATCCTGTTTAATTCCTGTTTAGAGCTATTAAAGGTTATTCACGATCTCTTCTCAATATTTTGTTTCAGGTGTGTGTGTTGGAGGACACATACACACATGTATACACACATGCATACACACACATGTATATTGAGGTCTGATAGCTGAGCGAACAGCGCGCAGGACTCGTTATTCTGTGGCCCGGGTTCGATTTCCGGACCAGGCAGAAATGGGTAAAGTTTCTTTCACCTGATGCACCTGTTACCTAGCAGTAAATAGGTACCTGGGAGTTAGACAGCTGTTACGGAGCTGCTTCCTGGGTGTGTGTGTGTTGGAGGGGGGGGACTAGTTAGTAGTTAGTTACAGTTGATTGATTGACAGTTGAGAGGCGGGTCGAAAGAGCAGAGCTCAACTCACGCAAGCACATCTAGGTGAATACATCTAGGTGAACACACACACACACACACACACACTTGGACTCTGATCCAAGAGTCAATGCTCGATCCTGCAGACCACAACTAGGTGAGTACACACACACACACACACACACACACACACACACACACACACACCACACACACACACACCACACACACCACACACACACACACACACACACACACACGTGTGAACACAATAGGGGACACAGGTGGAAACTGAGTGCCCAAATGAGCCACAGAGATATTAGAAAGAACTTTTTTAGCGTCAGAGTGGTTGACAAATGGAATGCACTAGGAAGCAATGTGGTGGAGGCTGACTCCATACACAGTTTCAAGTGTAGATATGATAGAGCCCAATAGGCTCAGGAACCTGTACACCTGTTGATTGACGGTTGAGAGGCGGGACCAAAGAGCCAGAGCTCAACCCCCGCAAGCACAACTAGGTGAGTACAACTAGGTGAGTACACACACACACACACACACACACACACACACACACACACACACACACACACACACACACACACACACACGTGCACAGTTAACTGACAGTTCAGAGGCGGGGCCAAAGAGCTGAAGCTCAGCACCCGCAAGCACACATAGACGAGTTCAAGGTGAGTACACACACACACACACACACACACACACACACACACACACACACACACATTACACTATCTTGTAATGAAGATAGGTGTAGGGAGCAGGAGGCCAGATACAAGGTATCATCTGGGAGAGGAAATTCTTCAGGAGTCAGAGAAGGAAAAAGACTTGGGGGTTGATATCACGCCAGACCTGTCTCCTGCAGCACATATCAAGCGGATAACATCAGCGGCATATGCCAGGCTAGCCAACATACGAACGGCATTCAGAAACTTGTGTAAAGAATCATTCAGAACTTTGTATACCACATATGTCAGGCCAATCCTGGAGTATGCAGCCCCAGCATGGAGTCCATATCTAGTCAAGGATAAGACTAAACTGGAAAAGGTTCAAAGGTTTGCCACCAGACTAGTACCCGAGCTGAGAGGTATGAGCTACGAGAGACTACGGGAATTAAACCTCACTTCGCTGGAAGACAGAAGAGTTAGGGGGGACATGATCACCACATTCAAGATTCTGAAGGGGATTGATAGGGTAGATAAAGACAGTCTATTTAACACAAGGGGAACACGCACAAGGGGACACAGGTGGAAACTGAGTGCCCAAATGAGCCACAGAGATATTAGAAAGAACTTTTTTAGTGTCAGAGTGGTTGACAAATGGAATGCATTAGGGGGTGATGTGGTGGAGGCTGACTCCATACACAGTTTCAAGTGTAGATATGATAGAGCCCGATAGGCTCAGGAATCTGTACACCTGCTGATTGACGGTTGAGAGGCGGGACCAAAGAGCCAGAGCTCAACCCCCGCAAACACAACTAGGTGAGTACAACTAGGTGAGTACACACACACACACACACACACACACACACACACACACACACACACACACACACACACACACACACACACACACACACACACACACACACACACACACACACACAAACAACCCCTTGTCTCACAAACACACGCACCTGTACCTGAAGCATGCAATCGCAGTGAGCCTATTGATCTGACGTACAGAACACCGGCCTCACCCTCCCTACACATCGAGGTCATCTACACGCTCCCTTCCCCCTCCACCAACCCCCCAACCCCTTCCCCCCACCCCCACAAACCCCACCAACCCCCCCAACCCCACCATGCCACGCTGAACGTGGGACATTACAGGCAGGACAAGGGGCGCTGGGTCCCCCTGTCCACAGCACTTCACGGCGCCAGCACTGGTTATATTCGTTGCGTCTTCAGGCCGAGGCCAGGCGTTCAGTTATCATGTTGAGACAGTGTGTGCGTGCGTGTGCGTGCGTGTGTTGACCTAACTGTATTTGCGGGAGTTAATCTGCCGCTCCCGGAGTCCTGCCTTCAGCCATTTACCACATTTGCATTTGGAATCATCTGTGTGTGCGTGTGAGTGACGGTGTGTGCGTGTGTGTGTGTGTGTAGAAGGGGGGAAAGGGAAGGGAGAACCAGTGGGAAAGAGGATGGGGAGTGAGGATAGGGGAGAAGGGGAGAGGGGTGGAGGAAGAGATCTGCTAGCACACTTACATTGCGACATATTAATCATTAGAGTAATAAACATGTCTCCTTTCCCAGCCGGAACTAAGAACATTCAGACCTCGTTCAAGGACTCCTCCTCCTCCTCTCTCTTCACATTCTCATCTTTTAAACTAGCCATAACGAAAAAAAATAACATTTTCCTCTTGGAGCCGGATCACATACTGACAAAAAAATTATCTCTGAATATCGCTTCGTTATTGCCGGAAGTCATCTGGTCAGTAAGTTTTAGTGAGATCCTGTACAGTCTGCTAATGATATTTTAGGTTGATATAACGCTATAATAACGTATGTTAGAACACAAAAATAAACAAATAAGTCCCAGTTACGTCTTGAGTCTCTTGGTCTGTCGTATTTTCAATTGACAGGTTCTCTTAACTTCTTAAAATGTGGTATAATAAGTCATCATCCATTGACTTAAGTGTTCCATGTCAAGGCGATTTTGATCAGTCATCAACAAGTGTGAGTCAGTGTGTGTGTGAACTTACCTAATTGTACTTATCTAATTGTGCTTGCGAAGGTTGAGCTCTGACTCTTTGGTCCCGCCTCTCAACCGTCAATCAACAGGTGTACAGGTTCCTGAGCCTACTGGGCTCTATCATATCTACACTTGAAGCTGTGTAAGGAGTCAGCCTCCACCACATCACTGCCTAATGCATTCCATTTGTCTACTACTCTGACACTGAAAAAATCCTTTCTAACGTCTCTAGGCTCATTTGGGCACTCAATTTCCTCCTGTGTCCCCCCTGTGTGTGTGTGGATGTGTGTGTGTGTGGGGTATGTGTGTGTGTGTGTGTGAGTATGTGTGTGCGTGCGTGCGTGTGTGTGTGTGTGTGTGTGTGTGTGTGTGTGTGTGTGGTGTGTGTGTGTGTGTGTGTGTGTGTGTGTGTGTGTGTGTGTTTACAACTGGTGCTCAGCTGGGAGCGAGGAGAAGGTGTCGGAGCTCACCTGAGGCGCTCAATTGTTTTGCAATTGACTATAACAATGTTACACTCATCAACTACCGTCATCTACTACTAATGGTGATTCCCAGCACCACGAACGTCAGAGTGTTCACTGAAGGTACTCACTTGGAGGCAGATGCCCCAGGTGCTTACAGAGAGCGCTCACCTGTACGTAGTTGATCTTGAGCACCCAGTCGTCCGAGTCGTCCTCGTGCAGGGCTCTGAACCTCTGGTCGGAAGTGTAGGTGTAGCGACCCACCGTTAGCAGGTGTATGTCT